TTTTAAAGACAAAATATGCTGCACAGATTATATGGGATACATAAAACCTAAATTATTAACTGGATCTTTGAAAAAGTTCCCCAACCCCTAAACTATACAAATATGAGGAAATGTCCAGAAGCTAGCACAAGGGGCAGAGAAAAAAGAGATTCATGGGATGGAGGAGGGTGTCTGAGATGTATCCTGTCGTCTAATGGGAGTTTAAGGAGAGACTGAGGGACAGAGAAGATTCACAAAGATAATGGCTCGTAATTTTCTAGATTAATGAAGACATGAAACCTATGATACAAAAAGTTCAGTTTTTGTTTTTTTTTAGCCCAAACCAAAAACTTCCACAAGTAGACATTTTGTATTGAAACTGCAGAAGTTCAAAGACATAAATGTCTTTAAAGCAACCAGAATGAGAAGTCAGATTGCCCACAAGGTACAGGTTGGACTGAGATGTCTTTTCATTGAGGTTGATGACATCCAGAAGGTTCTTCATAATGTTGGTGGAAAAGGAAAACCTAATCTTGTATGCCCCACTAAGTCAACATTCAAGAATTAGGAGGAAATAGCGTTTGCAGACTCTCACTGAAGACACTGCTATCGAATAAAAGAAACAATCGGAAGGAATGAAATGCCAAAAGGAATAAAATTGTGAGCAAGAAAATTGGCAAATACATGTGCGAATATATAAACAGGCATCAGTTATGCCACTGAGAACATGATGAGAGGATAAAAAAAGTGGAGCTAAAACCTTAATAATGACATTTAATTCAATGTACGTTAGCACAGGTAATGTTCTAAGGGGCTTTTATTAATTGAGGTGGAAGAAAATGTTAGAAATATCATTAAACTTTTGACTTGATTGAGTCAAGAATACGTGTAACCACTTTAATGATAACAAAAAAGATAAATTGAATACAGTGGTGGTTAGTATGTGGGTAGGGTGGGGTTGGTTCCAGGACCTCCTGCAGGTTCCCAAAGCTATAGATACTCAGGTCCCTTATGTAAAATGGCATAGTATTTGTGTGCACCTGCACATATCCTCCTGGGCACTTTAAATCATTTCTAGATTAATTATAATACTGTGTTAGTCTGTTTTCTGTCACAATAATGAAATACTTGAGGCTGAGTAGTGTATAAATTAAAGAGATTTATTTACAGCTTTGGAGGCTGAAAGTCAGAACAGCATTCTGATGGCTCTGGCAAAGGCCCTTTTGGTTTTGTAATGTGTCACCTCATGACAGGTGGCATCATGGTGGGGTTCAAGTCCATAAGTGTCCTGGTGTTGGAGTTAGCAGATAAAAAATTTGATTTTTTGTTGGGTGAGGAGGTGCATGCTTATAACCCCAGGTATGAGCGAGGATGAGGCAGGAGGATTGCAAGTTCCTGGCCAGTTGGTGAGACCTTGTCTCAAAATTTAAAAATTGAGAAAATGGACTAGGGCTGTAGCTCAGTGATAAAGTGCCTCTGGGTTCAATCTTTAGTAATGAATGAAAAAAAAATCTTATAAATGTGATAAAGAAAATAGAGGGAGAGAGAAAAAAAGGATAGATATACCATTTTGCACTTGAAATCCTATATCTAAATAAGAGTCTAATGGACATTCTAGACCTGAAAAATATAGTACTTGAAATTAAGAATGTTTTGGATGGCATTTACAGTGGGTTGGATATATCTGAAGAATGGATTGGAGAACTTGAAATTATTCAAGCTGGAGTACTAAATAAGATAAAAAAAATACGGATTTAGGGTAATACAGAGTGAACTGGTGGAAAATGTGAGATTAGGCATTATAATTTGTTGTGGGCCAGGACTGGTGAAGACAGTAGAGTAATAAAAGAAATATACAGGAAAGGGATATGATGCAGACTTCATCGTTATCATAATATATTTCAGTAAAGAATTGGCAAATCAATATGGATGTAAGGAGTTGGAGGAGTTAAAAGTAACTCAAGGCTTATAGAGAATATGTGTCTTCATTTGTGCTAGATACTGTGCAGTGTGTTTTATTCACTATCTAATCTTTTTTTGTTTTTAATATTGTTTTTAGTTGTACCTTTTAATTTTATTTATGTGGTGCTGAGGATCAAACCCAGGGCCTCACACATGTGAAACAAGAGCTCTGGTGCTGAGCCCCAGCCCCCACTGTCTCTCACCTTTATATCAACTCTGAACATTGGTGATATCTTCTTATTTATGAAGAAAAAGTCTCAGAATGGTCAGCTGAGCCTCTGAAAGCTTCCTGAGGGGTCGGGTCCTGGCCTGGCTGCTCCGTGGTCGGTAGTTTTCCTGTGGCTGGAGGAATGTCGTGTCACGGGCAGAATGGAAAGTAGTGGAAAGAGGAAGTGTTTGAAGGCCTGAGCTGACTGTAACATATCTTAGGAGAGGGCTTTTTTCCACCCCCTGGACTGGGAATTGAACCCAGGAGTGCCACATCCCACTAAGCTATGTCCCTGGCCCATTTTTGAGGAAAGTTCTCATTAAGTTGTTGAAGATCTTGCTAAGGCACTGAGACTGGCCTCAAACTTCTGACCCTCCTGCCTTCACCTCCCAGGTCACTGGAATTACAGGTATCCACCACCATGCTCAGCTTATTTTTATTTTTTTTTAATTTAAAGAAGTTTTTTTTGGGCTGGGGTTGTAGTTCAGTGGTAGAGCACTTGCCTAGCATGTGTGAGGTACTGGGTTCGATTCTCAGCACCTCATATAAAGGCCTATCAACAACTAAAAAAAAAAAATCCATAAAAGAATTTTTTTTTTTGCAGGGGGTTATTGGAGATTGAACCCAGGGGTGCTCTACCATTGAACCACATCTTCATCCATTTTCGTATTTTATTTTGAGACAGGATCTTGCTAAGTTTCTGAGCTGGCCTCAAACTTTGGTCTCCCTCCTCTGGCTCCCAGATTGCTCCCAGACAGGCTAGGAGAGAGATCTTTAGGGAGCTGGGAATACTGAACTACTAGTATAAGACAGAAAGGCTAGGGTTGAAGTCGTGGTTTTAGGGATAGTCTGATTATAGGTGATGGTTGAAGCCATTTCTTAACAGATGGTGTCGAAAGCCTTGGGGGAACACTTTAGGTAGGAGGAAGACTATACCTACTGAAGCAGAATGGTAACAGCAGTCAGGGAGATGAGTGGGAACACCAAAAAGTACCGTTTCGTGGAAATCCAGGCGAGGGCTGGGATGGTGCAGAGGAGGAAGGGATCAGTGGCACAACTCATTTAACAGACTTGGTGAGTTTAATGAACTGTGCTGCGAGCTGGCGACATGGCAGGGATCCCAGCAGACAGAGCTCCTGCCCCCAGTAGGTAGGTTTTGGCAGGGAAGGTGGTACTGAATGAATGAACGAAAAGATACGGAGGAAATCAGTAGGTTAATGGCAGAAAGGCAACTTTAAAATGAGGATGTTCAGAAAATTGACCTGAGGGATGAGAGTCACCAGGAAAAAGAGCAGCCAGTCTGAAGGTTCCAAGGCAGTACAGAGCTTGGCAAGGCCGAGGAGTTGAAAGGAGGCCAGTGTGGCCAAAGTTGGCTGAGCACAGGGAACAGCGGGGGCCATTGCACTCGGATAGGGTGATAGTGCAATGGGAATCTCCTGTGATTCCTCGGAAAGGGAGAGAGACATCTAATTTGTGTTTGAAGAAGAGCATCCTGGCTGCTCTGTAGGATATGTCATGGGATCAGGAACGGAAGCAGGCTGGCAAATTAGGTCTACATGCTCTGGGGGATGACTGAGAGTTAGTAAACCACGTACTGTGTTTGACTTAAGTCTCTAGAGGTTGTTCCCTTATCAGTGTTGCAGGGATATTTGTTTCTAGATCTTGATACTTCATTGTCATTTTCCAGAGAATGACGGAAGAGATCCTGAGTGTCGTTTTCTTTTGTGCTTTAAATAATTTAATTAGCCATTTAGGAAGGGAAGTTCCTTCTGTTGGACATTGACTTCTGTCTTATTTCAGTTAAAGAGATAGAAGTTAATGGGGATGCGTTCTTTTGAATTATTGTTGAATTATTGGTTTCCATTATTATTATTATTATTATTATTATTATTATTAGTTCTGGGGACTGAACCTAGGGGTACTTAACCTCTGAGCTCCTTCCTCAGCACTTAAAATTTTTTTTTCTTTTTTTTAGTTGTCAGTGGATCTTTAATTAATTTATTTATATGTGGTGCTGAGGATCGAACCCAGGGCCTTACACATGCCAGGCAAGTGCTCTACCACTGAGCCACAACTCCATCTTCCCCCAGCCGTTTTTATTTTTTATTTTGAGACAGGATCTCACTAAGTTGCTAAAGCTGGCCTCAAACTTGTGATCCTCCTGCCCCAAACTTCCTGAGTAGTGGGGATTTTATGGATGTGTGCCACTACACCTAGCTTGGTTTCCATTAGAATGTTTGTTTCTACTCACATCTCTACCTGTGAGTTAGTAGCACTGGATATATTAGACTAGGAATTGTCAGTCTCTGAGTGACTTTTAAAAAAACATTTGCTTACATTCTGTATGTAATTTTTTTTGGAATTTTTGGTATGAAGAAATTCAAACGTAAGCAAAAGCAAAGAACGTAATATGATAACTCCCCGCATTTACCCATCATTCTGTACCAGTACCAGTCAGCTCTGGCTCTTCTTGGTTCACCTGGCCCTCCTCACTGTCCCTGTTTATTTTGAAACAGATTCCAGGTGTGCCATCATCTATAAATCGCGCAGCATCTACTTCCCTCATTTCGGTGTTCTGTTTTATTTCTCTTTGAGGCACGTAAGCGGGTCACATAGCTGTGTGGTTTGCTGTGAGGGTCCCATTTTGTACCTGTTGTCCTAGTGTAGTTATCAGTAGAATTGTTTTCACTTAAGAGAGTGTCTTTTGGGACAGTGAATTCTGTTTTTTTTTTTTTTTATTTATGCAAGGAGAGCTTTTTCAGAGGAACACTGAGTAAATTCTTCAATAGTACCTTCAGCATTGGGTATTTTACTAATAGCGTGCTACTTTTATATTTCCTTTTTAAATCAGGAGAGCAAACCCTGGTATTCACTATTTCAAGAAGTTATTTACGGAAGGATAAAGTGACATAAGCCTGAGAAAGGAGGCTCCTGGTGTGTGGAAGGAAGGGGGTGAGTGTTGTGCTGCTGCTCGTCTTGCCCTCTACCCCGTGCCCTCCTGTCTGTCAGTGCCGCAGAGAGCGTCAGCCCTTTGGAACAGAAGGGCGATGTCAGGTCTGTGAAATACTGGCCTCCCTGGGTTCTCCGTAGTATTTGACTCGCTGTTACTTATCTAGGTTGAGATGATCCAAATTCTGTATTTTCCTGGATAGAATTTTTTTGTTTTGTTTTGTTCTCACTTGTTCTACTGAAACCTTTAGCAACACTGATAGCAGCTCTTTGTTACTTACATGTGAGTGAAGATTCTACCAGACCTTTCATAGTTGTACATCTTGAGCACAGGTAGAGGCTGGAGAGTGGCTGAGCCCTGACTTATGGCAGTGCCCTTGCTTGTCCATCTTGTCTCCAGGCTGAGAGAATTTCCTGAAGTCAAGGACCACTGTGCGTTCTAGAGCCTCCCAGTTATGATAGCTTGTCAGATGCATCAAGAGTATGTGAACGCTTTTTGGGGGAAGAAATGAATGAAATATTCATTCAGGAATTTGGCACAGTGTATTTAACTGACTTCTAGATACGCTGAGTTTGTGGAGAGAGCAGGCGGAAAGATTCTGTAGCCTCTGATGGTAAAGGTTGAGAGAAGAGGACTGGGGATTTGTTTCAAGATGGAAGAGCCAAAAGTTCCTCATGTGCTCTGCTTTATTTTCAGAGCCACACAACATATTGTTACCTCCACGTACTCATCTCCATTTTAGAAGATTAGGGCCCTGATAGGCATGTGGTCTGATAGCACCTCTGTCCCCCAAGGATAAGAAATGGTGCCTCTCATTTCTAAAAGGCCACGTTACTATTTCTGGTTTAAGAAGGAGCACATGGTGTCTGCTAATGGAAGATGAATAGAAGCAAACTGGGAAATACCTTTTGTCTCTGGATTATTGAATCTGCTACTGGCTGAAGAGCAAAAGAGTTCTCTTCAATTCTTTTCAGTTCTAAATTTAAGAAATTGAGCCTTTCAGAGTTTTTTTTTTTTTTTTTGGTTACGTGGTTCAAAAGGATGTCTGAATATTGGAAGTGAACGTTGCTAATAAGATTGGTGGGAAGGTGTTTCTCTTCATCTAATGAGGCCAGATCGTTACTGCAGACATCTTTGCCCACTGTTGATTTTAGCTGATCATCATTTGATGGGGCGCTAGTGCTGCTCTAGATCTAGTTAAACAGGAAGAGGCTGGGTGAGGGTGGGTGTAGACTGAAGCTGTTGAGGGCACTTACCAACCGTGAGCACTATACACTTGCCGGGCAGCGTCTCTGCCTTGGATTGGCAGTATTCTCTGAGAAACACACTCTTGTTCCAACGTTGTTTGATCCTAGAAGGTGAAGCATTTTCTAGAAATGTGCTGGGGTGGGAGTGGTGTTGAACATGATCTTTTCAACACACTGAAATGGTTCTTTTTCTCTTGCAGGCTTGGCTGTTGGCAAAGACGTGGATAAGAGCCAGTGGTTCTAATGCCAGCGGACCTGACTAGCTACTATACAACTGTGCAGTAGAAACTATGCATATTTGTTGGTCAGCAAAGCCAAGGAACAAGAGCTATGGCCTTTGAAATGGCCTTTGTGATTCCACGGTATTTTTCCTGGGTTTTATCATGTGGTACCTCCCTTCCAACTCAGCAGCAATGTGGTACCTTTTACTGTTCAGTGAAGATTAAGGACGTGCTCTTTGATCAACAGCCAGAACTTAAAATCTGTTGGAACAGGGTCAGGGACCATGTCATTCGCAGCTGAGGAAGATGAAATTTCCATTTTATGTGGTGCCTTGTACAGGGAGTGCACTCACTCTTCTAGGAACGTGTGAGTGAGAAAGAGGTTGTGTTTTGCTGACTAGAAACTCACGGTTATGGCGAGTGACCCAACGTGATCAGAGGGGCAAGAGAACTCATGACGGGTTATACCATGTTGCGGAATGGGGGAGTGGGGAATGGAGGTCAGACCTGCATGCTGCGCTGGTCCAACCGCATCCGGCTCACGTGGCTCAGCTTTACACTGTTCATCATTCTGGTTTTCTTCCCCCTCATTGCTCACTATTATCTCACCACACTGGATGAGGCAGATGAGGCTGGCAAAAGGATTTTTGGCCCACGGGCGGGTAATGAGCTCTGTGAGGTGAAGCACGTGCTGGACCTCTGCCGCATCCGAGAATCGGTTAGTGAGGAGCTCCTACAGTTGGAAGCCAAGCGGCAGGAGCTGAACAGTGAAATCGCCAAGCTGAACCTAAAGATCGAAGCCTGTAAGAAGAGTATTGAAAACGCCAAGCAGGACCTGCTGCAGCTCAAGAATGTCATTAGCCAGACTGAGCATTCTTACAAAGAGCTGATGGCCCAAAATCAGCCCAAACTTTCTTTGCCTATCCGACTGCTCCCAGAGAAGGATGACACTGGCCTTCCTCCCCCAAAGGTCACGCGGGGTTGCCGCCTGCACAACTGTTTTGATTATTCCCGCTGCCCTCTCACCTCTGGTTTTCCTGTCTATGTTTATGACAGTGACCAGTTTGCCTTGGGCAGCTACCTGGACCCCCTGGTCAAGCAGGCTTTTCAGGCTACAGCACGAGCCAATACTTATGTTACAGAAAATGCAGACATTGCCTGCCTGTATGTGGTATTAGTGGGAGAAATGCAGGACCCGGTCGTGCTGCGGCCATCTGACCTTGAGAAACAGCTGTATTCCCTACCACATTGGCGGACAGATGGACACAACCACGTCATCATCAACCTGTCACGCAAGTCGGACACACAGAATTTACTATACAATGTCAGCACAGGCCGTGCCATGGTGGCCCAGTCCACTTTCTATGCTGCGCAGTACAGACCTGGCTTTGACTTGGTGGTCTCGCCGCTGGTCCATGCCATGTCAGAACCCAATTTCATGGAAATCCCACCACAGGTGCCAGTGAAGCGGAAATATCTCTTCACCTTCCAGGGTGAGAAGATTGAATCCTTGAGATCCAGCCTTCAGGAGGCCCGCTCCTTTGAAGAGGAGATGGAAGGTGATCCCCCTGCTGACTATGACGATCGGATCATTGCCACTCTGAAGGCCGTCCAGGACAGCAAGTTAGATCAGGTCCTGGTGGAGTTTACCTGCAAAAACCAGCCCAAGCCCAGTCTGCCGACTGAGTGGGCACTGTGTGGGGAGCGGGAGGACCGCCTGGAGTTACTGAAGCTGTCCACCTTTGCCCTCATCATCACTCCTGGGGACCCTCACTTGGTTATTTCATCTGGGTGTGCCACACGGCTCTTTGAAGCCCTGGAAGTTGGTGCTGTCCCAGTCGTACTAGGGGAACAAGTCCAGCTTCCTTACCAGGACATGCTGCAGTGGAACGAGGCGGCCCTCGTGGTGCCCAAGCCTCGTGTCACCGAGGTCCACTTCCTGTTACGCAGTCTCTCTGACAGTGATCTGCTGGCCATGAGGCGGCAAGGCCGCTTTCTCTGGGAGACATACTTCTCCACCGCTGACAGTATTTTTAATACCGTGCTGGCCATGATTAGGACTCGCATTCAGATCCCAGCTGCTCCCATCCGGGAAGAGGTAGCAGCTGAGATTCCCCATCGTTCAGGCAAGGCGGCTGGAACTGATCCCAATATGGCTGACAACGGGGACCTAGACCTGGGGCCAGTAGAAACGGAGCCACCCTACGCCTCACCCAAATACCTCCGCAACTTCACTCTGACTGTCACCGACTTCTACCGCAGCTGGAACTCTGCTCCAGGACCTTTCCATCTTTTTCCCCACACTCCCTTTGACCCTGTGTTGCCCTCAGAGGCCAAGTTCTTGGGCTCAGGGACTGGGTTTCGGCCTATCGGTGGTGGGGCTGGGGGTTCTGGCAAGGAGTTTCAGGCTGCACTTGGTGGTAACGTGCCCCGAGAGCAATTCACAGTGGTGATGTTGACCTATGAGCGCGAGGAGGTGCTCATGAACTCCTTGGAGAGGCTGAACGGCCTCCCGTACCTGAACAAAGTGGTGGTGGTGTGGAATTCTCCTAAGCTGCCGTCAGAGGACCTTCTGTGGCCTGACATTGGCGTCCCCATCATGGTAATACAAAAATGGGCAGTCTCTCTTGATGCATGTACTTCACTCCTAATGCCTTTCCCTTTAGCTATCTTAACTCTTACTGGTGAGGAATGTACATCTTTTTAAACACCGGTACAGATGACTTTTCCCGTGAAATTTCTGCTTGTTACTTCTTTAGGCCTTGCCAGCTCATTGCTGCTACTTACTTCCTAAGTCGCCTGAGCACTGCCACTGTAAAATTGCTACTGGACCTGTGCAGTTATCCCTGCCAATCAGAGATGAGAATGCTCATGGTTGGGAAGAACTTAGGATCCAGGCTCTGTAATTAGGGTTATGTGATGTATGATCATCACTGTTTCTTCATTTTGTGTCTGTGGGAACTGGGGCTTGGAAAGTTGATTGATTTGCTCAAGGCCATGATGAGTAATGGAGGAGGTGAGCTTTACAATGTCTGATTCCAGAAGCTTCAGTTTTTAATCATCCCAGAGGATTTGGGAGAAGAATGATGTCATTCACAGGATCCTCTGGAAGGGTGGAGTGGGGTTTGATACTTGGGACTTGGAGAGCCTTCTTTTCTAGAGTATCTTGCAGGGTCTTTCTCTTGTTCTTTATTTTTCAAATTTTAGTTGTAGATGGACACAGTGCCCCCCCCCCCCAATCTATCTATTTATATGTGGTGCTGAAGATCGAACCCTGTGCCTCACACATGCTAGGCAAATGCTCTACTTCTGAGCCCCAGCCCGTCTTTCTCATTCTTTACTCCATGTCTGATGTTTACATGCTGTTATTTTATAGGAAAGATAAGATCTAAACATGTAGGACTGGGTGGCATTCTGAGGCTTTTGTATCTACCTGCTTGAATTAAACTGGTGATCTGCAAGAGAGATGTGAAGCCTTAAAGCAGACCTGTCAACTACTTACCTTGCAACATTGGTACTTTCTAGAAAAAGGTAGCAAAGAACAACAAAAGAGCTGATGGGCCATGCATCAACTAGAGTCTTGCTTAAGAAAATTGGTGATTTTTAGGGATGATTTGTGTGAGACCAATCAAAGAAAGACTAGGATTCTTTTCCATCCCAGAGTTTATCTTGTATATTAAGAAATCTCCTTTACAAACTTTTTCCTAAGTGAATTTTACTCATTTCCTTTCTTAGTTTCAACTTCATAACTGTCACTGAATTAAAAAATAAAAGCGGCAGCAGCACTTACTCTGCAAAGGGCAGATGTCATCCCGCAGTGGGATATCAGAGCTGCCTACGCTTTCCGTTTGTCCTGCGTGTTGAGTTTGGTCAAGATGTGGAGAAGCTGGTGCCACCTGGTAAACCATGAACTGGAGTTCACTGGAGCACTTACTAGAACTGTTCTTTCTTTAACACTGGTAGGAAATACGCAGTCCTCTTTATTGCTGGGCATCACACTGCAATTAATGCATAACCTATTAGGAAGTGCCTGAAATTTTCCAAATAAAGGGTCATTCTAGAAAGCTCATATTAGGGATGCAGTTTTTTTCTAGTTCTTTTAAAATGTGGCAACAGTTTCAAGCTGGAGGTCTCACTCCATTCTCTAAAAATTTTGACTTCTTTCCATTTAAGAGAAGCAGGTGTTTTGGGCAGCAGTTGGAATTGCTGACATGGGTGCAGGCAGGCATCAGGGCTAGAGAGACAGTGGCAGCTGCTGCCTCCCCTGTCAGAGAGGCACTACTATGTTGTGCCTCAGAGTGGCTTCCCACCTAGATGTGGACATCACCTATTCATTGTGTTGGGATTAACAGGGTTTAGAAAATCAGCAGCACAGTGGTTCCCAGGCAGTCTCAGATTCCAGTCCTTAGGAAAGTGACTCAAAGTCAGCACATTGGTTAAGTGAATCAACCCAGGAACCTCTGTCTTTTCAGAAAATGCTGAGCAACTTGTGTTTCTCTTCTGCTCAGCTTCTCAACTAAGCAATATGCATAAGTTCTGGATCATGTGTGAACTGTGAAATCTGTTGAGCCCCAACTATTTTAGTGGCACCTGGTAGATCTTCTATACTAAAATTCCCCATTCTTTTTTAATAATTAATTACGTAACAAAGGGGTCTGGCTTAGAATAAAAGTGTATGCAAAGAGAATTCTAGCTCAAATGGAATAGTGAATGGGCAAGGAGCCAGGACCTGCGGAGAGAGGGGAGAAGTGTGGTGCTCTCACTGAATGTTGTAGGGCTGCTGCAGGGAGATATGGTGGTGCTGTCTGCTCTCTCTGTGTCTCTCCTTGCTCTTATCCTTCGGGCCAGAATGACTGGATTTTGTCTTAGAGTCCCAGCTGTCCTTCACCCTGTGTCCCTTGCATTCTTTGCTAACAGTTGAGTCGAGCACCTTGGCTCCCGGAGCACAGCCACAGAGCTGTCTAATGGAGTCAGATGGAGAGTGTTACTCTGACAACAGATTTGATGTCCATTCTCTTGAAAAAGTCCCCACTAGGTTGGGACCATGTTTTCAGGGCCCCTTAAAGACATTCTGCTGTTCCTGGTGATAGTCAGTGGGCTTCCCCTGTGTGTTATGTGTGGCTTTCCCTGTCTGCTTACAGGATCTTTTCCTTATCTTTGGCTTTTAGCAGTTTGATTTTGATATTCCTTGGCATTGCTTTCCTTGATTTTTTTTTTTTTTTAAATTTTGAAAAGTGTTGCTATTTTTGTCTTACGAGGCAGATAACTTGGACCCAGACTAAAAGTTCTCTTAATGGCTACTCCACAGTTCATTGAGTTCTTTTATATTTAGCTGGTCTGCTTACAACCTGCACCAAGCATGCGCAGAGTTGAAGTGAGCCAGAGACCGGTTTATACCCGGCACTGGGAGCTCCCCCTCTCTGGTTTTCTCCTTTTTGGAATTTCCTCCTGTCTTTCCGGGCCAGTGGTTGCCCCAGACTCTTTCCTCTTATCCTTCAGGACAGCCTGACAGGATTTGGTCTGAGGGTTCCAGCTGTCCTTCCCGGCCCTGGCTCTGCTCTCTCCTGTGTCAGCACTTCCTTCCCCCTGCATGACAGCTCCACTCCATGATGTGCCGTGAGTGGCTCCCTCACCATTGCCTGCAGGAAGGTCCTCTCTCGGTGTATTTGTACAGAGCTTGATTGCCCTCCGCAGGAGGATTACCTGGCAGGAGCTGGCTCAGCCCTCCTGAAGCAGATGCCTGCAAATAATCCCTTTTGATACATGGTCCCACAAAAGTTTGATTCATAGTTATTGCTTTATTCTCTCCTGTTTGCATGTGTTCCTTTCTCACACTTTAGATTCTGGAAAATAGTGATAAGTAGGGGTGGCCTTGTTAGAGCATTCTGTGAAATGAGAACCTTAAGATCTGTGCTGCTGGTGTTTGAAGACTTGGGCTGTTAGGAAAGTGATATCTTTTAGTTATTAGCAGCATAGCCAGGCTTTCTCAAAGCAGTGCTCATCTTCACACTGCGTTTGTTGGCTTCTTTGGAAGCCAGCCCTGGAGTCTGAATTTTTCATTCTCCCTTCCTAAAGGGTACAAACTAATTTACCCAGGGTGCCTGGCAAGGGCTCTTGGACATCTGAGAAGCTTGTATGGAGTGAGAGAGCCTTGTAAATTCTAGAGGCGTCCACAGGCGGTGGCAACTGTGAGAAGCAACCCTCTCTGCATTTGCAGTGGAGCTCTTGTGGGGAGTTTGAAGGGAGGTGGGAGGAGGTGGCCAGGGCTGGCTTGTGCAGAAACCTGCAGGCCAAGCTGCGCAGTGTAGAATGTGTCCTGAGTGTGAGAGGATGCCTCAGAGAAAGAGAGCAGAGGCAGGTAAAAGACTTGTAGTAGCAGTAGCCCAGGGGAGAGGTGGTGGTAGTCTGGATCAGGGTGGCGGGGGCAGAGAGGGTGAGTTCAGAGGTGAGCTTGACTCATTCATGTCCTTGGAGACTTCAAGGCTCTGGAAGCAGAATGGCTGGAATGCGTCATTTTCCCCCCAAATAAAACTACAGCAGTATGATAGAGATTTGAGTTTGTGGAGGATTGGGGATGTAGCCCATGGTAGAATGGTTGCCTAGCATGCATGAGGCCCTATGTTCCATGCCCTGAAAAGAAGAAAGAGAAAAAAATGACTAAATCAAGTTTTAAAGTGAGTGGTTTCCAGCTGGAAGAGGGCAAGAGAGGAGTTTGTTTTTCAGGGCCCTTTCCTTCTCTCTTAGTCACTGGTATTCAGATGGAAAGGAGATGGCTCTGTTTTGGGAACTTGAATGGTGTGCCAGGAGGGTTATTGTTTCATTACCGAGATAGGCTCTTTCTGAGTTGCACAGGCTGGCCTGGAATTTGCCATCCTCCTTCCTCAGCCTTCGGAATTGCTGGTGTGCTCCACTACACCTGGCAAGAGACTTTTAATATTGCTTTACAAGTAGTGCGTTGGGGAGGAGGATTGGGGCCTGAAGGAACGGCCTCGGAGCACCCGTGGTGTCTTGGTGCTCAGGCGGCCAGAGGCTCTACCGCTGGCCAGACTTCATGGAGAGGAGAGGTCATTATGCCTCAGAAACCTGATAAGTTCTATCTTTGTCTGTCCATTCTGCTCTGTAAAATATCCCTTGTATGATTCAGATGGTCATTGTCCAGTGTTATGATTTCTAGGCAAGTTGAACAGGAAGGAGGAACCTGTCCAGCCTCTCCCGGTGAGGGCTCTGCAGAGGCTGGTCGGCCTCACTGGGTATTGGTGGATCTGGGTGCTTGGGTTTTTTTCTTTGACAGTATTTTACTTAAGAACTCGGTGATTGTAACTCTGGCTTTTTCTTTCTGTTTGGGATGAACTGTATGACTGAAAAAGATTATGAAGCAAAGCTACCAGAAATCGGAATAGCCAAAATTATAGAAATGTAGAGGAATTGCTGAAAAGACATATTGTAAAAGAATTTACTAATTGTATTAATAATTTACTTATGTGGGTATTTGTACTCTGCAAATTCAAAGGAAGGAGTCTGAGACTGCAAGAATTTTGTTGTTTCAGGTCATTTGACTAATTAACACCTACATTAGGCTTGTGAAGTGGCTTATAATCCCAG